TAGGGAAATCATTGTTCTTCTGGAGGACCTTCCATTCTGTTTCACCAGGGCTTCACACCTGAGTCTGTATGTCTTGGATATTATTAATACCTCAGGCAGTTGTGTTTTTGCTCAGAACAGAAGTCATTACGAGGACAGTGTCTGTTTGTCTTTCTGCTTTCTTTGAAACAGTTTTCAACCCTTTGCTTTTCTTTTGCCTTTCCAGGTGTGCGTGTGTGGTGTTAACTGGTTGTGATGTTCTTACACCCGAGCTAGCAGTCTCTGGAGGTGGTCATGGGTGCAGAACATGTTGTTGCCTTGACATTGCATGGTTCAGTACTGTGTCGTGACATGGTAATATATTACTCAATCTAAATTAAAATCCCACGGTGTAAGGATGTGCACGCTTAGGTTGGGGATGTTGGCACTAGTGTAAACACGTGAAGCCGTTCTTTATGGAGTTGGTTCAGCACATGCGTTGTAGCACTTGGGTCTTCACGTCACCTACCCAACAACACGGGTTGTTTCCCTGCCTGCTTTGCTTTGGTCGTTCGTGTGCTGAATTCTTTTCACTTATGTGACAGATTATATTTTCCCCTTGGGCCCCTCAGAGTAAAAGATGGCCTGGATACTTGCAAACACACAGATTCTGTTCTGTTCGGTCTGCTTTTCTGTGTGCAATAAACAAGTCTTTTTCCTGTTCGTTTTCAGATGTCTCTGTTGATTTCTAGTTCCAGCAACTTTTGTTGTCATACTTTACAAACCTCACCTCTTCCTGTTACCATCTGCTCAGTCAGGTCTGGCTACTTTTCATTGTGTTTCTTCTGTTTCCTCAGGATTGTACTGGCGGCGCTGTGCAAAAACTCCTTTCCTGTCTTTTTCTAACCTAACAAGTTCAGCTATCGTCTCTTCTGTACTCATGCATATTGCTTGTTCCTTTGTGCATTTTGTGAGAGTGTCTGATGTGTTACCTGTGAAAAATCTGTGGATTCATGTGTTTTACAAAGCTTTGTTTTGGTTTTTTGTTTTGCTGTAGCCTCTGAACAAATACCAGATGGTAACAAATTTATTTCACTGTTGCCCTACAAAAGAGATTTAATAAATGACTTTCGGTTTAGCAGACTTATAGTCACTCATGGAAAGCCATTGATGTCATGTTTATGATGACTGTAAAGCCATTCAAGATGTAAACTAACCTTTCCTTATTGGATGAAAATAATTGAAATAATTAGTGATATTTTTGTCCTTGTTGAATCTTAGAATGCTTAAGCCAATGCAATTTGATAATGTTGTGGGAAGAAATAGTCCTGCCCTTCCCAGTGGTCTCCTTCTCGATCTTTTCTTTGTACCAGCATGTACATTTATACACCTGCATAAGACTGAGGAAATAAACTAGTTGGAGAAAAATGAATGTTTTTCATGTGGACCTCTTTTCCAAGTTGAGTATGGGGTGAACTGTACATGGTGTGCAAGAAGAGGAGGTTTTCATTTATTTACTTCAAGATCAGCATCTGCTGAAATGTCTTTTATATTAGAATGTAGATTATGTGATGTTCCCAAATAGTGTGACAAATTTATTTGGGGAAAGAAGCTATTCACATAGCTTCTTGTGTGTAAAATACAAAAACCAAAATAAGTCTCAAAACTAGACTACTTTTTTATTTTCCCAGTTTGCTCATGTGTATGGATTAAATGTAATAAAAAAGAACATGCCTTGAAGCTCCATTAATTATTTCTGTTAAGCAGACTGGCTAAACACATTCTGGAGTAAAGAGCACTGTATAGCAATCTCCAGAATAAAAATTTAGGCTGTTTAGTAGAGGTGCTGCTTTTACCCTGAGTATTTTAACCATGAAAATTCAAGATGCAGAATTTCAGTTTTTCAGCTGTGAGATGTAGTGTCCAATAGTATTATAATGCCTGTTTCTTGTAAGAATAATGTTTTTCGTTGTTTGTTACTGAATTTGCCCCAGTAGCTGTCTTGCAAGTGGTAGTTAGCTCTCCTTTGATCTTAGCACGTGAACCGTAAGTAGAATTTCACTTGGCCAGGTTGTTAGAAGATGTCACTATAATGCTGTGTGGCCATTGTAATCTTCCTTCTCTTTCCTAGGTTGCTGTAAGGCCTGAAGAGTTGACTGGAAACAACACCAGGGTGGAGGTTACAACACTGTGGTAAGTATGCTATTTTAAAACATAGAGGGGAGAAGCTGGGAAAGGAGCTGATACGGAATTATGAGTCCAGGAGTGAATCACTCGGTGATGAATAGTCTGCAGCTTTGTGTGGGAAGATTAAAGTGCTGAGGATTTTAAAAGAGGAGAAAGCAGTAGCTGGCAGCACGTTCTTGCTCCTGGCAAAGGAAAGGAATATGCATGCAGAGTATAAGGAAAGGTACTTCATGCTTCACATTTTCATAAAGCTGTAAAACATACTAATCCGTTAATCATCATAGTGTGCTTGCTAGTTATAGCATTGTTTTTGTTGCTGCTCAAGTGAAAACTGGGGAGAAATATAATGTTTTCCATTAATAACACGTAAGTTTAGTGATGAAATGAGAACTAGAAGTTGGGTGTCCTTGACGCCATACTCTACTAGTTTTACTACTTAATTTTATTAGTTTGTAAGGATGTAATAGTGGTAATAGTTTATGTTTGCAAAAAGGGAAGATTTTAGTCTCATTACACTTTATATCTTACTACCCTAGAACTAATCCAAAGTATTTCTAATGAGGTTATTGATTATTAATTTTTTTCCTCCTCCTAAAGTGGCTTTCTAGAAGATGACCATAGAGGATCTCCCAGAACCTTCCTTGGAAGGAGATTCCCTCATTGAAAGAGAACGGTTCTTATTCCCAAACTCTGAAACATCAGTTACTTTTTCTGTTGCTGCAGCACCAATGCCTTCAGACTGTGGTGTGTACTTTTAACGGAAAATGAATTTGTGATCAGCATAGAATAAATCTGAATAATCAATTTTAAGAAAAGCAATCAACTCTTAATTTATTCCTTCTTTTCAGAAAAAGTTTACTGCTTGTTCAAGTAATTCTCTGTTTTTTAAAGGAAATGAAAGATGAAGACCCATGCTTTTTCCATTTTTCTTATTACATATATTTTAAATTATAATATCTTTTCCTTTTACAGTTTCTTCTGTGCATGCAGTCAGAGGTTTGTAGGGTTTTTTACATCTCAGTGGGGGGTTTGTAGGTTTTTGTACATCTCAATGTAGAAGTTAAGATGTAAAATCGCAGTAATTAAATGTAGTTAAGCATCTACATCACATTTAAAATCTCTAGAGCCACACTTTTTCTTGTGCTTTCAGTGTGTGAACAATGCAGTACAGGGGAATATTTCTGTTGGAAGTGTAGATGTTTGGTGGTAAGGACTGAAATGAGTATTAAAAGAAAATTATAGCAAGTGTTGGTGATTGGCTTTTGAAATAATATTGAAGTGTCTTCACATATATAAATTATAATAATATTTAAAACAGGATAGAGAATATATTAAAATGTCACTGTAGGTAAGGATCTTCGTAGATAGATAGCTACAATTATAATGCCTTTGAATATTGCAGAAGATGTTAATAGCATCTATGTACTTAAAAAATTACCATCTCCACCTCTGTTTTTCCCATGCATTGATTATAGCGATCAACTGTATTCAGGAGAAATAAATACACATGATGTAATGCTCTGTCTTTGGCAGACTCAGCGTTCTTGAGACCCATTTGATGAGTTAGCGCAGACTGGAAATGTAACAGTTCCATACGATGTTTTAATACATGAACATGTGTCTTTACTTGATTTTAGCCCAGTTCTCATAACTTGTCCATCCCATGCTAGTCTAAGTACTGCCATGATTTATTCCATTCTGTTTTCTTATCGCTTGGAAAAGTTTTTCCATTTATCCTTCTTTAAACATTGTTGTGTTGCGGTATCTTCTAATAACACTACAGTATCACTACAGTCTGTCCTACTCAGTCTGTGCGGGCTCATTAAATAAAAGAAATTGCAATGTAACAGCAATATTACTGAACCTGGGTAAAGAAGGTTAAACCACAGCAGACAAAGGTTCTTGGTCATTACGTTAAGTGCATTTGTATTTCTCTAATACAGTTGAGCGCTGTGATCAATGCATGGGAAAGACAGAGGTGGAGGGAGTAATGTTTTAAAGTATCTGGACGCCATTGTCATCCTTTCCTGGAACTTCTTGTTTTAACAGAACATTTCTTTGGTTTGCAAACTCTACAGTTGATCACTTGTTAAGCACTTATAATGGTTGTTATTAATACTTAATATATTCTCAGGTTTTTACCCTAGCATGCTGATTGTAACAGTCTGTTGATTTCTGATGTATAATTTGGTTCAGGTTAGTAGCTAGGAGTCTTCCTGGTGGAGTAAGAATCATGCATGTTGTGTGAGATCATTAGTCTTGTTGGCTAGTTGTCTATTTGCTTCATAGCTTTGATGAAATCAGCTGGTTTATGCAGAAGTTAAATATTAGCACATAAATCAGTAGATCTGTATCAATACATGGGACATAGGTAAGAATCACACTTTGTGTAATGCTGGGAGATAAGGGGTTTGCTTTTTCATGTTAGATATCGGTGAAGTTGTCCTCCTTCATTCTTTTTGAAAGAAGGCAGTGCAGTTAGAGGAACTTGAGATAGCCAGGAAGTGAGCTCCATGTGTGCTTTAATCTGCTAATCCAATCTAGAAGTGTGGTATGCTCTTTTTGAGGAAAGGTTATAATAATTCATCCAGAGGTGGTTTGTACCATGTCATACACCGAAATGATGCTCTGTTTTACTTAACCTGTGTGTCTGTTCTGAGAGCCTTCTGTCTGCAATTGATGCAAGCTGACATTGTACATTTGTTTGAAACCTTTTTGAAAGGCAACTCCCAGATAGCTACAGCGGGGATAGAAGTTCAGTGTTTTCCATGATTCAGTCATTTGCTGATGACAACAGGTTCTGCTTCCGCTCCCTCTCCTAATAGCCATTGCTGTCCAGATTCTTGCATATAATTTTCCAGAGTTGGAAGAAAGTCCACAAATGTAAAATACAGTATGTGTGTATACATGCACACACATACACCTGTAAGTAGCATGAAATATCACACTTTAATAATAAGGTGTTTTTTACACCTATACTTTGGGTTGCTTGAAGAAGCACGAGGTTTAAAATCTTCAAAGTATCTTTTTTATTTTTTTTTAATCTTGGTTTGGTGGCTTAATTTTCAAATTTTTAAAAGTTTAAAAAATGTTCATTACCTGCAGCTGCTGCCAGTTTGGATTGATACATTCATGAAATATCTGAAAATCACGGAGGCCATTGAATGCCTTCCTGATTTGTGCCTGTGTTTATATTTTGGTACTTTTTATGTAAGTTGTGAGGGAAGAAGAGGGAAAAGACATATTTTGGAGCATATGGAGAAATCGTGTACGCATTTGAACACTGAGCGATCAAGAGGCTTGTCTGTGCTTGGGAACAGTTTTGAATCAGCAGTGTTTGGGTGGCTTGTGAAGGGAGAGTAAACCCTGATTAGCGTAATCACTGCTATCCCTGTTGGTCCTTGTCTAGACATAAAATCAGTCTTGCAGTACCATTGTATTGGTTGCTCATTTAAAGCTTTTTCAGAAGTATAAGCAAGACCTTAGTATTAAAGGAAAGGTAGACCAGATGTTAAAGAAAATTTTCTAAATTAATTCAACATTCCGATTTTCCAGTATAGTAGTGTGTCTTTTCCAATATAGAAGTGTCACTTCCAGAGTAGTGAAGTGACTCTGTGCTCTTCTTTGCCTCCAAGTTTGAAAAACTACATGCATGTTAAAAGTTTCAATTGTACCTAATGATTCCTTTTTTTTAACAGAATTTTCCTTCTTTGATCCCAATGATGCAGCATGTCAAGAAATTCTTTTCAACCCCAAAACATCAGTTTCTGAATTATTTGCTATCTTAAGGCAGTGGGTTCCACAGGTCCAGCAGAATATTGATATTATTGGGAATGAGGTGAGGTATAAATTGAAGATCCCTGAATGATTTCCCTGTTAAATACTGTGTTGACAACAAATAAAATCAGTTCATTCAGAAGCAGAACTAACCATAAATGCAGATACAGCTTCTGCCTTTTAACAAGTAGTTACTGATCAGTGCCTTGTATTCCACATGTTGTCAGCTTTCGTTTGGAGAGAGAAGGATGGATTAAAATTCAGTAGATTTGGATAGATGGTAGAAACAATGTTTCTTCTCAAAGCAGAGACCCTTCACCTTGGTGTTTCAGTTTCCTACTTAGCAGTAATCATAAACTCCAGTATATGAAGTTACAGTGAGGCCTGCCCTTAAGGCCAGTGTTTCCAAGGCACAAAATGAGTTAGGAACTGAAATCTCTTTGCAACCTGCAATAGGCTGCTTTCAGAAGACACCTTGTTTCTAGTAGTGCCATTGTACTTTTTTGGTTTGGGTTGTTTGTTTTTTTTGGTTGTTTGTTTTTTTTTTCTGGATTATAGGCTTTTCTAGACAGGTAGGGAAAACATAGTAACAAATCTGTAAACAATGATATTCATATAATACTATTTATTACATTTGTGCGTGTTGCTCAGTTCTGCAGATGCAGTCTATTCTGTCAGGCTTCTTTGTTGTTAGCATTGAAATGAATCCAGGGGTCAATATATCTGAAATAACTTATAAATACTACTAATGTTGGTGACATACCAGAGCTAAAATGTGCTCGTTTTCCACTTGTCTCTCAGATCATTAAAAGGGGTTGCAATGTGAATGACAGAGATGGACTGACCGATATGACTCTCTTGCATTACACTTGCAAATCAGGGGCTCATGGTATTGGTGAGTAAAGCAGCATCATTATAGGTGTAAAAACCTAATTAATTCACAAAGGCTAATCCCACTGACTATTACAGAATTTTTCCTTGCAGTAGATTTTTTTTTTTGGTGCCTGGTTTTGGCTCTTCTAGTGGCCATCAGAAAGGAAGATACAGAACTGTAGCACAGTTACAGCTGTGGCAGTTGGGAGTCAGCGGTACAGATATTGCAGACAATAGTACCAGCTTAAACATACTTAGTGTAGCAATGGCTGCTTCAGACTGGGGTGCAAACTAAGCTATCAGCAGCTTGCTTACATGAGTGAAACTAGAACATTTAGGTGACTGGCTGTCTGGTTTTTTTTATTTCACCCTGATCATGTCTGAAGAAAACAATAATCTTTGTTTGCATTTTTATAGTTATAAGTACTGGAAATGAGAGCATATTTAATTCTGTTTGAACACTCCTGCTAGCTTTTCCATGTTGTGTTACTTTTTTGTTGACCTGAACCCAGTTGTCCTCTGAATTTGAACTGAGTTAAATGTGGCATAGGTTAGAATTTCTGATGTTGACAGATCTTTTAACATAAGCTTCAGCATTGTGGTGTGTGATTTTTTTTTTCTTCTATCAGATACTAAAATCCATGGTTTTTATGGGTGACACATTATTTGCATTAAACAGGTAGTGTTGTATAATTTAGTAGAGATTTCAGCCCCTTATGATAAAAGGCAAAGATTTCTGCATCCTAATCTTAAAAAGAAAGGCATAGTAATTGTTCTGCTGTGAGCTTTAAGGGTTTCATGTAGATTATGTGGTTGTTTTTTGTGGTCAAATAAATCTCTGATGTATATTTTACAAAATTTACCTTGCAGGTGATGTTGAAACCGCTGTAAAATTTGCAACACAGCTTATTGATTTGGGTGCTGATAGCAGTTTACGCAGCCGCTGGACGAATATGAATGCTTTGCATTATGCTGCCTACTTTGATGTTCCAGAACTTATTAGTCTTATTTTGAAAAATGCAAAGCCAAAAGGTGGGCATTGTTACTTTTGTTTCATGTGGTTGTGCATATTTTGTTACGCTGTTGATCCTAAGCTGGTGTGTAGGGTTTGTTTATCCATTAGACATAAATACATACACATACATAATACATAAATACATAATACATAAGTAATTTCTAATCTCTCATTTTTTTAGTCAGCCTCATTGGTTTGCTTTCTTCTTAGCCTTTTTTTTTTTTGTGGTTTAATGTGATGGTTATATTGCTGGTTTTTAAACTTGAGCTTTGTACAAGATGGTAGAGAAGTATCTAATGGAACAGAAAGTAAACTGGTTAATTCTAAGTTGTTGAGGACCAAGAGAATGTATGCAGAAAACCAAAGATGTAACTACTCTGGTAAATTCTTAGGGTTTTAAAGATTCCTTAACCATTGAGAAGTATGTTTGAAATGCTGGGAGAAGGGTAAATGAGAAGTGAGGATTTGGCAATGGCATGTGGTGACCTAGTGACTGAAACAGCTTTGACGTGCTCAATTTTCCCACTTCTTGGCTTACACATGACCTAAGGTCATGTGTAAGGAACAGTTTGACTCTAGTGTTTGGCATAAATAGATAATACCTTTTGGAACGATAATATGAAGGATTGGTAATTGGAGCCCTATTTATACTTACGCAAGTGGAAATACAGAAATAGTTCTGAACCAGAACCATTTGTTCCTAATTTGGTCAGGATATCAAAACCAGTAAGCAGTTTTAATACTAAAATTCTACAAATGTCAGTTTGTTTTACTGAATGTCCTTCTGATTGTGCCATTTTTCAAGATGATTAATCCCCTTTTTTAGTTAGTTGTAGCTAAAGACTCTTTCTCAAAATTCTGAAAAGCAGATAGTTTTTGGAGTACCCAAGGCTTGCTTACCACGTCCTGAATCATCGTGGAAGTAATTGTTAAACGGCGTTGTTATTGGTACGACATACTTAAGAGGTAATAAGTGTAGCTTGGTAACAAAAGACAAAATAAGACTGCACAGTAGTTGAGTCCACATCACATTTCAATAGTCCGGTCTCCATAATTTGCATCAGCAGATCAGGTCTTTTTTCAGACCTCATTTGCATTTGGTGTTCTCACCGCCTCCTGTGCGGTGCCTACGGAAGGGGTGGGAATTTGCTCAGATTTCCAAGGAAACCACTCTGGTTAAATGCCTTGGCAGTTTGGTAACTCTTGGGTAAGCAGATGATTTTTCTAATCTCAAAAAATGTATAAAATTATTTGCCGTGTGACATGAAAACAGTGGATGGTCTGAATTAATAGCAGGAATAATCTCAGCTCCATACTGCATCAGGCAGTTTGCAGACAAGAGAGGATGTACATAGAAGGCAAACATGCCTTGGATGGATTCATACTGAACTGGAGAAAAAATGGTTGTTAATGTATAAATAACTTTTCAAGACAGTGGTGTACTGACTCTGAAACACCTGTTGTAAAACAGCCACTACCACAGATGTTTCCTTTTGATTTCCTCGTAAACTATTTCCTTTATGACGCTCTGCAGTTAAATTCTTGATACAGGTTTACTCCTTAATTTTTAGAACAGAGAGCTAGTTTGATCTTAGATTTTTAGAGGTTTTAAATATAAAAATAATTAAAGGCTTAAGAATTAGAAACGTTGTGTGATGCCATTAGACAATGACTGTAACCTGCATGGGTTGCTAATGACAGACCATTGCTGCATATTAACTACCCCCAAACTAACTAGGGGACATTAGTGGGTAACGTTTGATAAATATATATGTTTCTTTTTGTCACCTGTACTATGCCAACTTAGGCGTAGAACAAAGCTGTAAGAAAGCAGTGTTTAAAAACTCCAAGCATGAAGCTTGCGAGTCTGAGGAAGTCACACTAGTCTAGTTAAAAAAAAAATAAATCTACACGTGAGTTATTTTTTAACACAGGAGTACATGCAACTGTTGCCAACTTAGTAGCTGATGTTACTGATCAGTATTTCTGCAGATTGGTTTCTATGTGCGTAGAAAATACTTAATTGATGGCATTATTAAACACTAAATTTTCAATAGTTGTATATAACTATGCAGCTTCTACTCAGTTTTCATCTGGTAATGGTCTTTTGACATTTGATATATGAAGGGTACATCTGCATACATAGGTGTCGTTAGGATTGCATCATGTGAATGCAGGTTTTTTTTGCGTGTGTGCCAATTAAATTTAAAATAGATGAGTTTGTATAAGTGCAATTGTAAAACTGGTAAATTTGATCCCAAATTTGTTATCTTTGATCTTTATAAAATTCAGAATCACTCTTTATTAGTATGTGTGAAGTTGACATGTCTATACAGATATATGTATTTATGTATCTTCTGTATATGTTGATGTTTTATTTGCCCCCAAAATAATAATTTAGTATAACTATATAAGGATGCTGACACAGTTGGGATACACTTTGCTTATCACATTTTGAGAAGGGCTAGTGGTTTTTATGACAGAGACTGATACTGGAAAATAGTAGGAGACTGTACAGGTGGAATTAGATTCCTCACCAGTATTTCAAATTGGGACATTATTGCTAATACTCGTTGGCTTTTTTGGTTTGTGTGTTAAATCAGCTGGCATTTTTAGTTAACGGTCATATATATATATATAATTGACTCAAACTGACATCCCTCTTGTATAATTTAGGAGAGGAGCCAAAGAATATATATGCATTAAAGCTCCAGTCTTCTGCAACAATAATAACTTCATAGCACATTGAGAGATATATTGGGAACAATTGACAGAAATATATGTTATGCTGAACCTCTTCTAGTCAAATGCAGTGCTCCATTTTCCAAACTACCAGTGCAAGACCTTTCAGAGTGCATTTCTTTGAAAACAAAGAAATTATAAAAATCACTAGCTCTTACTTCTTTCTCGGCCATCAGTAATTAAATCAATGTAAAGCAGAGGTATAATCAGTTTTCTCTTGCCCCACTATCTGCTCACAAAAGAAAACTGGTTAAAGATGCATCTCATTTTAACATTTGGCACCTAGAAGCAGTAAACTATAAATATATCTGAAACATTAATTTATATGCAAACCTAAAGTTACTAACTTGTTAATCTTGGCACAGTAGATTGGGCATCCTGAATATCAACAATTTTGCAGTTAAGTCATCAGTATTATCAAAGGAATGATAGTAAACGTTCATCTTCCAGAATGGTTCGTGGTCTGAATAAAGAGATGCAGATGAGGTTGATATTCTGTGTAGAATTACTTCTTGTATGCATTTAGTACATAAATAATGGTATCTCTATGTAAATGTTAACATAAACTGTAAAAGTGAATGTCCTCTCAAGGAATCTGTAGGGTGAAATGTTCACGTAACAGACTTACATACCTCACATGTGATGTTTAATTTCAGATGTGGATGCCACCTGTAGTGATTTTGATTTTGGAACAGCTTTGCATATTGCTGCCTTTAACCTATGTACAGGAGCTGTCAAGTGTTTACTGGAACATGGAGCAAATCCTGCCTTTAGGGTAAGGAGTTAGGCTGTAGATTCACCAAAAGGTGAAAGAAGTACCTGGAAGAATTGAACAATCTGTCCAGGATTTTGTTTAGCTAAAAATGTGTTACATGGAGTGATAGTGCCTCAGAAAAATTATTTATAACTCATCGTGGATGATGTTGTATGCTTTTTCTTCCTTGTTGGTTAAAGTTTGTGTTTTTATGTCACAGTCAAGTTCATTAGTTCAAATAGCTTTCAAGATGCTTTTGTACTTGTTGCTTGAACTTTAATTTGTTAGTTCTTTGTGTCTTGCAACTACAAATGGTAGACCTGAGTTATAGTGTAAAGTGTTGCTATATGTGTCTAGCCACAAATCTTGGGTTTTGATTAGGTTTTTTTTGTTTTTTTTTTTTTTTTTTAGCATAGTCAGTATCTCAGGTCTCTGCTTTCTGTTTTTTAATGAGAAATTGTTTTAAAGGTACTTGAGTCGTTATTTCATGTATCACTGATGATGTAAAATCTTGTGGAACATTGTTCATACTTCATGATCTTCAATCTAGATTTCTTTAAAACCGCTGTTTTTCTTCTTTGTGTCATTATTTAGTGTGCATGTACATGTTTCAGGTTCTATGGCAGCTATATGTTTTGAGTCTGTTGTCACAGGGAGTACTGTTTTGTAGTTGCACGAGCATTCTGAGCTGGAAAAAGGTGACTCTGCCCTTGAGAAAAGCAATCCTGTGCCACTGTGCCTACTTTTGCCTTCTTGCCTCTGCTCCGCCCACTACTTTCAATCCCGCAATGGAGTTCTGACCAGAGATAGTGTGTAGAGTTTGCTTAGATGAGGACGAGAGAGTGTAAGTGCTGAGTAAGGATTATAGTTTTCTAGGGTTGAGGGAGGGAGATTTAGAGGGGGCTCAGGGAAGGTTGAGCTTTTAGTCTGGTTTTTTTAAGGAAATAAAGCAAATAGAGTCTTGCTCTGCATCATTCCTTCTTTGAACTTTTGCTAATTTCTGAGTCCAGGGTCTCATCTGAGACTGAGATAATTATGTTTCCACAAACTTTGTGAAAGTTGGCAGGTAGGTGAAGATCCATACTAATGCCTTTGCTGAAGAAAGCGTAGGTAGAACTTGCCATTGTGGGAGCCTGAACAGCCCAACAGTGTACTTGCTGTCTGGCCAACTGGCCTTGAGTTGAGGTCTTAGCTCCAGGTGAGCTGCTACTCCAACAGCTTTGGCCTAGGGTGAGTGTCACATGGGAAATAGGGGAATCGCAGTCACTGCTCTCTGGGAATGGGAAGTGTTTGGAAACGACTCTGTCCTTAATTCATCTCTCATGGAATAGTCTATATCTAAATAAACCTGAACAGGTTTATTCAAGTATTTATGTGAGACATCAACTTTGTGTATGCTATATAATTCTGCAACATGAATTAATTAAATTCTATCTTATGTTGTAATAAGGTTCACCAAGGAGTAAGCTATACACTGGGTAAAGATAAATTCTCTGCAAACTGTTAGGGTTTCAGTATTGGCATTGCAGACCAGAATTCTTGCTTGCTTTCCTATATCTGTGTTCAGGTGCACAGGTATATACAGGTGTTTTTTTCATGAGTTCTGAGTACTAATAAGGTTCTAAGATTAAAAATTTTGTTAACTTAGCACTTTTGAAAAAAAGACACTGTAAATGCTAGTTTATATGTTTAAGGATGTCTTGGCATCCTTGTTTGAAAATGTGGATGTTTTTATGGTTTATATTCTAGGGAAAATATCTAATGAAGAGGATTAAAAAATTCATAAATAGTTTTGCCTGATCAGGTGTATTTTGTCACAGCAGTAAATCCTGTGCTATGTTATGTTTCTACAGAATGACAAAGGGCAGATCCCAGCAGATGTGGTTCCTGATCCGGTAGATATGCCACTGGAAATGGCAGATGCAGCAGCCAGTGCAAAAGAAATCAAGCAGATGTTGCTGGATGCAGTGCCTCTCTCATGTGACATCTCAAAAGCTATGATTCCAAACTATGATCATGTCACAGGCAAGGCCATGCTTTTATCGCTTGGCCTGAAACTGGGAGATCGTGTTGTTATTGCAGGACAGAAGGTATGATGCTACCCTCATAATTTCTTGACAGTCAATTTATTTACCCCTTTCGAGACATATCTCAAATCTGAGGATCCAAAACACTTTCTGGAAGGTACGATGAACTCTGGATGGCAGTAAGACTCTGGTTAGAGAAAGTAGTAAGCTGAACAGTTATGTGTTAAAGAAAGTCACTACTGTGAAAAGCTGTTTTGACAGGCACAGTCAGCATTTTGTATCTGTAAGCAACATTTTTAACGGTCTCCTATAGTACATCAGCATAGCCCTGTTTTTATTAACATTTTTGATGTCACGTCAAAATGATGGTAAAATTTACTGATTACTTTGTGAGTTAGCCACCTTTCAGTTACGAGTATGTATTCGTGAATTACCCCTGATAATTTCCAGAAGGTGGTAAAAGAAAACCTTAGTTCTATTTAGCCTGTAGTAACCTAATTTCACTGCTGCAATGCAGCTAAAATCTTTGAAGTGGTGCTGTGCCAGTGGGGTTGTTACATGGTTCTCTGGAAGTATGAGTAGTTAATACTGGTGCAGGTGTAATGTGTATAGAGTTTAAGAAGCTACCTTGCTAGACACATTTTTTTAAAATGTGTTTGAAAAATGTAACATTGATATGTAGTTAGTATTCATACCTTTTATTTGCTCTGATAGTAAGGGCTCTGAAATTACTTAAGAGTGCTAGAACTCTTTTAAAGATTTCAAATATTTTTCTGGTAAATATTGAAGGCATTTGTGAGCAAAATTTTATGTTTAAAGTAACTTTACCTTTAATAATTTTTCTACTGTAAATTCAGATTTGTAATTACCAGAGCTGAAGTGTTCTTAAGTGAACACCGAGAGTGCAAAGCAGCTTCCATTCTGTATTTTCATTTGGTGTAGTCTTGAAATAGAGTCAGGAAAAGCGAAGGAATCGCTAGCTATGCAGAAGACATTTTAACTGAAGTAGCCACTTATTCTTTAAAGACAGTAAAAAGTTTATGGGAGTTTCTTTTACAGAAAGCCATTGCACAGTGAAAGCGAGGGGAGATAATGTAACTGCAAGTTAATGGAGGCTTTATAGCAAGAAAGGGAAGAAATGAGTCCTCTTGTGTGTCTTTCCTCTGAGTAAGGCCCATAGAACTGTTTGAACTGTAATGTGCTTACCGTGTATGGATAAAGCTTCCTGGGTTTGGTTACTTTTTTGTTTATCAAGTACGGCATTGCAGTGTTTTTGCATTTGTTGGAAGCTGTGTTTCTGCTGCCAAAGGCCAGCAGAGCTTTCCAGGTAGTTTTTATTTTTAAGGAAGCCAAAGCTGTCATATGGCAGGTGGGAAGGAGGAATGTTATTGTGCTTTTTGATCTTCCTTTTCCACATCTTCTTTCCTCCCGTCCTTTCTTTGTCTGTGAGGAGCTGTGCTGCATTACTCCCGCATTGTTTCCCACCCACCGTCTCCATTTGTCTGAATGGAGAAATTGATCTCAGCCCTGTCTTCCCCTCTCCCTTGATACTCATAGATGTGTGCAGGGTGGAGCAAAAGTGAGAACAGGATGATGAAAATGGTGCCCAATTCTTTTATCTCCTCTTGGATCCGTTCTCATTTCCAGAATATGGAAGCTGGGATGAGCGCACTGGAATGACAGCATTTTTACGAGCAGTGTTTATGAATTCCTGTTCTCTTTCCTGCTTCTGCAGTCTCCTAACGTATTGTCTTTAATGAAGCTTGAAAGCCAAGCGCAGTATATGCCAGAGGGAAAATGGATTCCTCTCTGGATTCCTACTGTACCTGTCATCCTAGTTGTTTTACAAGGCAGAAAGCTGTGTAAGCGGATGTTTATGTGTACATGATTTGGGGTGCCCCAGCTTCACCAGCTCATGCTCTGCTAGATTATACATTATCTGAATGGACACTCAATGAAATGCGAGTGCAGGGAAACCAGCAGCTGGAGGAAAACTTTTCTCCTGTTCCTGTCATGTTTCTCATGTGCAAGATGTCCTCTGCTCCTTACCTGCGCGAGTCCGAGGGCTCGTGCAAAATTGGAGCCTTAGTTTTGCCGTCTCCACCTCCAGTTTAAGATGCTGGTACCTTCCCTCTGGTCAGTAAGTGCCTGGAGAGTGAAACAATCTGTTAGGCTGCTTGGCCAAGCTTCCTCCGGCTGAATTTGACCTCTGGGTTGGTAGCTGAAAAGTCTGGGCCTAGATTAGTGTAATGTACCTGTCTATAACAATCAGGTTTAAAGGAGACCTTCAGAGTAAAAGAAGAACAGGCTCTGGGTCATGTTTATTTCTTTACAGAACATTAAGAAAGAGTATCTGGAAGGCTGTATAGTAAAGAAGAAAAAATGGTTTCTGTCTGTTTACTCTCTGAGGGCTGGGTTAGACAGCGAAGTCATAGTAAAAAATGAACTAATAGTATTAAGGTCACATGAGGTAATGAAAACTGAGCAACTGAAAGATCAAAGGTTTTTCTTACTAAAACTAATTTTAAAATCAAATATAAAAATTCATTTAAATCACTGCATCTCTGCTAGTTTTTCCTCCCTCATTTGGTTGAAGTGGGTGAGCTTATAATGTATATTTGTGGTGACTGAGGTCCACCAGCAAGACTGGTCTGTCCTGATATTCTTGATGTACTTATCTGTTCAAAGTTTACACAGTATATATTGAAGCAGCAAAAAAATGTTACAACATTTGCTCGCTTTTTAGATTTTGTTTAATCATAAAGAAGGAATAAAAGACTTATTTAAAAAAATTAAATATGCTCTGAAGTTTACCATTTAACTTTTGCAATGTATTTAAATATATGTACTTATATATCCATACTTATACACATGCAGATATATTTACAGATTTTTTTTTTAATGTAGTATTTCCATGGATCTGCAATTCAGCAAGGTATCTAGCCATGATTCTGGAACTATTGGTGTGGAAGGCACTGAAAATATATGCCTGTATTGTCAGGCGTATACTCCTGTACCTTGCTGACTTGGAGCCGTATTGTAGGGTGGTACTTAGTGCCTCATTCTTGTCTGTTATGAGATTTCACAATAACCACAGCTTTTGTTTAACACAAAATATATACAGAAAGACTAGTACATTTTGAAAAATACGCTGGCTGGCATTGAAAGATAGGAATGTCAGTAATCAAGGGAGATTGTTGCTTGTATTTCTCTGTTCTGATGAAAAGCTCAGAGGTGACTTGCTGTCTCCTTTGTAATCTATACTATGCTCTTGTAAGCAAGACTTGTTTAACAAAGTCACTCTGTGTTGATGCTTTTTGGTTTAGGTTGGTACGTTAAGATTTTGTGGCACAACAGAATTTGCCAGTGGCCAGTGGGCTGGCGTGGAGCTGGATGAACCAGAAGGAAAGAACAATGGAAGTGTTGCAAAAGTCCAGTACTTCAAGTGTGCACCGAAATGTGGTATAACCTTTAATTTTTTCTTACATTTTTTAAAACCTGGATTTTGAAAAAGTGTTGGAAGATATGACCCTTTTGGGAGAATAAAAACAGATAACAAATTCCATTGGTTTTCTTTTTAGTACTTAACTTTGTTTTATTGATTCTTTTAACTGTTCCTAGTGTTTTGGCCACAACTATTTGCAAAACCACTGAAACAATCAGCCAGTCAAAATTTCTGGTTATTTCCTTGAAACTGTCTCATTTTTCCATGTATTGTTGAAGCTATTTGTTTGTGTTTTAACAATAATGGCCATGTTTCTTTAACTGCTTTGCACTAATTTTTAAAAGATTCACACCTGTAGGTGTTTTCTAACTTCCAGCTTGAGGTATTTTAATTGATATTTCATGGACAGTCATGATATACAAAGTGTTGCAGTGGAGACTGAACGTTACCGTTAGGACAAAGATTCTAATCGACAGTTTTACTGACTTGCTTATTCTGTTCAAGCTGCTTGATAAGTCTTTCGGTTTCACTGTTAATTTGAGCTAGTCCTTTCTACTCTGCAAGTGCTTTGTCAGCATGGCAAACTATGATCGTGGCTGAAAAAAACCCTTAAATTGGTTGATTGAAGAGATAGTAGCCAGAAAGTTTTGTTGCACTAATATTATTTCTGGTTCTCTTTTGTCACATACATTTTTTGCTCCAGGTATCTTTGCACCTCTGTCTAAAATAAGCAAGGCTTCTGATCACAAAAAAAGCTTTGTACGAAGTTCTTCCATGCGGTTTTCGCCTTTGGTCAAATCCAAGAAAATAGATGTGACGCACATAACTTCCAAAGTGAATTCGGGTGAGTATTTTCTTGTATGTTGAGACAGGATTGAGATACTAATCTTCAATCTACACCAATCGTGTAAATGTTGGTATTAAAATACTTGTTTGGAATTAGTTCCTCACTTGGGATGAGAAGGTGGTATTTATTAATTACGTGTTCTCATTATTAGAAGTAGCCTTTTAACTAGTACTGGAAGGATGTTGAGTGTACTTTAGTGATTATAGTTGATCTGATGTACTAGTAGAGGTCTTTAAAGACTCTGTTAAAAAAAAAATTCACCACAACATTTATTCTTGAGCCTTTAATGTCATTTTTGTTTGGCTGTGGTATCAGTTAAATGTCTAAACTTAACATGGTTTCATTTATCAAGATCTTCCTGGGTGACTTGAAACTTACTGAAATTGGTGAAAATCTAGAAACTAATCTATATACACCTTTATATATAGAAATTGAAGAAACTTATTTTTTCTGGCAAAATGATAGAACACAATCAGTCAAATTGTTCCTTGATCTGCTTATTAAGTTATCTGAGTAAAACCAGAGGCAAATTAGAAGGGAAAGGCTGTCCTTTTAGTACGGCCTCAGTCTACTGGTTGGAGTACAAGGCTCAGTCCCTGGCTGTAGCTTAGTCTTTTGTAATTTATTAAAATTACATAATCCTTCTATGTAAGTTCCCTCCTTGTGAAGTAAGAAAGATGCACTTTTTCTCTCTGTTGAGGTTCCAAGGTGTTTGGAGTACAGACTCTCCCTTTCTGTGTGTGGTGCCCACTGTGCATCATCTGGCCCCGTGTCTGTCTGGCTGCATAGTGATGTCAGTAAATATATTACATGAGCATAGGTTACTCACACTAAGGCAGCACAGCTTAAGGGATGGAAGATAGAATCATAGAATCATTAGGGTTGGAA